ATATGCAAAAAATATTATTTTATTTTTTAAAATTTAAGAATTATCTTTTTTATTCTTATAATTTAAAAAATATTATTTTAATTACTAATATCATAAGTGACAAATTAATAGAAATTAAAATAATAATTTTTAATATTTTGAAACTAAAAACATGAATTTTTAATTTGAGATATTAAAATAATATTTTTAAAATTATAAAGACCAAAAATACAAATTTTTAATTTATATATATCTTTATACATATATATATATATATATTAAATTTGAGAAACTAAATAGATATTTAAATCAATCTCTTATCTAAGCTTATACAATCATATTACTTAAATTGTTTAAAACAATCTTTTATCTAACCTCTTACAGTCAAATTACTTAAATTGTTAAAAGTAATAATTACAATAATTAAAAATAAAAATTTTAAATTTAAGAGAAAAAAGTATATATATACCTCAAATTTAATAAATTGAAAACATATTTAAGTGAATCTTATTATATTTAAGACTCATACATTTAAATTGTTAAGAGCAATAATTACTTTGGACTGTGGTTATAGATTACGTTCGGCCCAATAGTTGCCAGCAAGCCAATCCAATCTCTAAGTTTCTAGTGGATAATTTTTAAATTAACACGTATGTGGTGAAAACAATTAAATTAAACAACTATTTTTTAAAGTTGGATCATGATATATACACTTCCTTTTTTTATATAAGTACACCTTCTTTTTTAAAAAAAAATAATTAAATTCTTAAAATATTTTATTTTTATTTTACATTCTTAATATTTAATTTAACACTTTTTTTACATATTTCTTTTTCTTATTTTCACATGCACCTCCTTAATTTTTCTTCACCTCCACTTATTTTAGTAGGTAATTTTAATTAGTTTTACATTATTTTTTTCCTTCCAATTTCAAATTTCTCGCTGATTTCACTCTCCGCACACTACTCTAGAATAGTGAAAATGTCTTCTTCATAACACTAAACTTAATGTTAAGGTTTTTGGAGGGGTGAAAGAAAATGAAGTGTTGAAAGAAAAAATGTGTGTCTAATTTGATAGAAACTATCAAGGAAGTTATACGTATCTATAATGTTGTCGCCTACAAGGTCTATGATTTGGGTGCATGTAAAAAAGTGAAAGAAGTGAGAAAATAAGAGAGTAATATAAAAATTGAGAGAACTAAAACTACACACTGTAATAGATGAGAAATTAGAGGAAGAAAATATGGTACATGTGAAAATTGGAAAAGGAGGTGTGTGAAAAGAAAAAATAGTAAATTAAAAGTTAGAGATATAAAATTAAAATTAAAAAAAAAATTAAAAAAAAATAAAGGAAGTGTACTTATAAAAAAAAAAAAAAAGTATATATATCATTAGCCTTCAAAGTTTGTTATCGGGATTTCAAGGGGTCGGTTCCGGTGGAGGCAGGTCGTAAGTATTTGTAAATATTCATAGATATTTGATAAAATTTTAAATAAAAAGTAAAAAATAAAATAATTTTAAAATTAAACATTTATATTAAATAATTTTTTAATATACATTTTTTGTGCTAAAAGTATATAATTATGTTATATATATTTAACTTAAAAATAAATTAAAACAAATCACCTTATATAATTAAAAATATTTTTTAAGTGTAAAAACTCACAAGTACGTGTATTTATCATCAGTCTCCAACCATTATTAAGTGAGCACTTATTTAATTTTATTTAAAATTTATAGCAAGTTTTATTCGTTAATATCCATATATATATATATATTAACCATTAGGGTTAGTCTAGTGGTTCGGTGGGGAGAGCTTAGTAATTTGAAACATGAAAGCTTGGATTCAATCCTCGTTGAGATTATTTTATAATTTTTCCTATTTTTACCAAAAAAATATATATATTTTCTTTTTCATTCCTATTTGGAATTTTCAAATACTGCAATAAGAAAAAAAATAGTTGAACCAATCACAACTTCATTTACACCTGTATTTTTACATTCTTCCATATATTTATTTTCATACGCTCTTTTTTTCATTGATCTAAAATTTATTAAAAAAATTATAAAATTATCACTTATAAACTTCTTTTTTGTTAAACTAATTTTGGTAGGGATGATTGACACCATCATCATGAAGATGTCATAAGCAAAACTAGAGAGCTCATGAAAAGAGATTGGCATCACATTAGGGTGGGAAGCAACAAACGTTGTAAGTAATGTGAGATCCGATCTTCGTATTACTGTTACATGCGGTGGGCATCGACTCTATTTAGTTTTATCCTTATTTCTTTTATTTTCTTATGTTACCGAAAAAAGTATCATCAATTCAAATACTTCTCCTAAAAAATAATTTTCAAAGTACAAAAACCAAATTCTGAATCTATAATTGTGCAAGGAAAAAAAAATATATTTACCAGCTATATCACATCTGGTTAGTTTTACGTGGATATTTACAATTTATGTGAATATTTATTAAAATATAAATTTTTAAATTAAATAAAATAAAACTTTTCAAATATACTTATATTAAATATAAAATTCCTAATAAAATTTTAAAAATAAATTAGAACAAATCATTTTATATATAACTAGAAGTACTTAAAAAAACTCAAAATATTTACCCTCACCTCATCGATTATCTGGTATTCATTAAATTGTTTATTTTAATTTGTAATGGATTTTTCTTAAATATTCCATCATTAAGTTTAATTATTATCATTCATGCTCCCATTAAAGTGGGTTTATGAATGATTTAGTTTTTGTTTGATAAAGATGAAAGAAATGAAGGGAAAAAAGACAGAGAGAGGTGTGAAGAAATGTAAGAAAATAGATAAGAAATAAAGTAAAAATTAAGGTTATTTGATAAAGAAAAAATAATTGAGAAATAGAGTAATTTTTTTTATTAATAACTTTATTTGTAAATAATAATTATTATTATAAGTTTCAAATTTTATAAATAATTTTGTTTAAAAATAATAAATACAAATTATTTTTGTTGTTATTATTATTATCATATTTATTACTATTATTGGGGTTTATTTTTTATAAATAATTTTATCTAAAAATAATAAATAAATAAGTATTATTATTATTATATTTGTTTATAATTATTAAGAACTTAATTATTTATAATAAATATATTTAAAAATATATAATTAATTTCAATATATATATAATACAATCCATCTCCCTCCTTATTTTTATAAAGTAAACTTCCTAACACTTTTTTTCATTTTAGAGAAAAAGTTTTGGTTTTTTTAATCTCATCCCATTTTCTTTACAATTTCTCAAAATTGTCTTTTGTCAAACACCAATTTTGAAACTTTCTTACACTTTTTGCCTTCTCGTTTTTCCTCTTCTTCTCTATTTACTCTAGAGAGATAAAACTAAAACTCAACGTCATCTTTGTTGAGAAACTGATCTACCTTTTTATAAAAATCAATTTTGTCATGCAATTTTAATTTTAAATAATTCATATATATCATTAACTACACTTTAATTGACATAATATATAAATTAATAAACAATAGTAAATAAACTGTTACATGTAATTTCATTTTATTATTTAATTCCTCCTATTTTAATTTAAATTATTCACTTTCTAATTTCTTTCTTTTCTATTTCATTACCAGAGTGTAATTATACATAGGAGTCAGAACTACAAATGTATTGCATGTTAAGTTAAAAAAGGGTTGCACTAGCACTACAGCACAGCATCGCTCAAAAAGTAAAAAACACAGTATGAAAAGGATACCAGGCGGCAATATGATATTGTTGCATACCAATTTATCACTACATGCACCCAAAACGAATATACAACTAGCCAAAATCCGATTCAGCCGCATTCCATATTTCTAATCAAGAAAGAATCAACGCATCCTACGTGGGACCAAGACTTGAATGGTGAAATTTGAACTTTAAAACCATTCAAAATGCTACAGCATATATCTACATTTGCTGGACAAAAGAGATCTACATCAAAAAGAAAAACATAATCGCATTCATCACTACTGCTTAGAATCCACTGAAGACCCGCCCTCATCTTCCAACATGGAACCACCTGAATCATTGGAATTTTTCACTGTTTTTCCCAGAATCCCATAGTTGTCACATGCCTCCGAATAGCCTCCAGTGTCTCTATTGGATACCCCAGATAGTGATACTAATCCCATGGCAGCAATGCTGTTTGCAATAGCATTAATATCATGGCTTCCCGTATAAAGACCACGGCTGCCAGCCACAAGGATGTTTTGTTTTTCATCCGGATTAGTTAAAACCGCTGGCAGAGTGTCCCTCATCATCTGTTGGTTACCCTGGCTTGAACCACTAATCAGCAATCTTAGAGTCTCTCTCGCACCCTTCACCACAGCATCAGATTCAGGAATCAGTGGCTTCACAAGATTTGGATGCAACGGTGCAATGTTAGTTGGCAATGCAGGACCAGCACTCACCAGATAGCCCTGACCTGAAGAGCACACGTCAATCACTGGCACGTGAACTATTGGATCACACATTAATGGTATGAAAGTGGGAATCTGCTGAGAAGACGGCAATGACATTCTGACCAATGGATCAGGCAGAAATGGAGGAAAGTCCATGGAAGTACTAAGAGGCTGTACCGGATCCAACAGGGTAGCTGATAGAGGGTTTGGTAATAAAGGGGCACCTGATGGAAAAGGCAGTGTTCCAATAGGGGATTCGGGAGACTGTGTAACTGCTGCAATGGATGGACAGGTAGAAATCCCAGGGGGACACCAACAATAGTAGGGGGAAAAAAGAGGTGCCACCACAGGAGGGGCCTCCCCACCCAGTCCAAGGGTTGATGGAACAGCAAGCCTTCCTAGTGATCCCAGAAAACTAGGAGAAAAGGCAAGAGTTTTGGAAACTTCTGATGCTTTGTCATGATCAGAAGTTGACGATAAATCCATAATGTTTGTTGAATCATTTGTCAAGTTATCAACTGTTGGCTGATGATTTTCACCACGGCGTTTAATTTTCTCCCTGGCTGCAATCCTGAGAGAAGACAAGTTTCTTGGGGGAACTTCTTTAAAAGAACTTGATCTTGGACTAAGAATACTCTGGTAAAGTGCTGTGTCTCCTTTTGCTGTTTGACCTCCAACATTTCGAGATCGGGGAAATTTTGAAGATGAAGGGTGTGAAGTATCGGAAGCAACATTACAGCAAGCAATGGAATTAGTGGATGTTGCACAAACTGAACCATCATGACCACTGCCCCCCACTGACCCCACAAGAAAAGCACGAAGCTGAGTTGCAAAGCAGTCAAGTCGTGACTTGCTAATGCCACTCAACTCAACAATGGAAGGCTTCCTCTTGAGCAAATCCTTCATCTGATTCATACAAAAAGGAGTTTGATAGCAAATATATAAATCATTAAATTCATTCAGAACACAAAATAGATGAGAAAGTTCAAATAATGCAAAACGAATTCATATCTAATGCTACAAAATTAAAAATTAAGCAAATGAGTTCAAGAAGGAAAAATAGATAAAATTACCTTTTCAAGTAATTCAATTCCCAAAAGCTTAGACTTTTCAGAGCACCAAAAGTAAAAGGTTCTGCTATCTGGAGTCCTTACAAGGAAGGATCGGCCAGAACTATCGGTTGGAATTTCATCAACCACAACAGCTGAGCATTGGGATTTGCTGGTAAAAGTAAATAATCTCTCTGTTCTACCATCATCCCCAATGAATGAGAGACGGAGATCGGAACTTGGCAGTAGTACAAGTGTCAAGTTACCCCTGTACACAAGTCAAGATGAAGTGAGACCTTAGCAAGTGATAATTAAGAAGACAGTAACAAATCAAAAAGACAAACATTGTATCAAATTAGTATAATGAAATTGTAACCCTGAACCTTCAAAACCTTAGCCAAGCAACAAAATAGGCATCAAATATTTCAGTTTTAGTAATAATTTTATAATTACTAACTAAAACAAAACATGACAAAAGTCAGTGCTCATAACACACGAGTATAAACCGTGTTTTCTTTACTAGAAACATAAATATAAATGTGTCTTTTAGGGTATGTAGCTAAATCATCAGGAAATAGTGACACCAAATGAATCTATCAAGTTTTTTTTGTCAACATTGTTTTCCCAATCAGGTTTTGAAATTCCTATAAGTTGAAAAACATTCTTGTCTTTCAGGGAATGTGTTACTAAGTAGAAATATAATATTTGTTAGTTATCTGGGCACAAAGCCATTGCTTCCAATGGAAAATGATCATTGATGACTAAAACACATTAAAGACACAAGTACAGCCATTCAATAACAAAAAAGCAATCTAAATCACGTAAACCAACATATTGAACCCTCTCCATCATTTTAAATACAGATGGATAATCTGGCTTCAAAAAGAACAAAAAAATAATTCTAACTGCTTTCTTCAACATGTTTGTGTTGCTTTGTGAATAGTTTAGAACATATAAAACCAGGATCAAATACTAAATGAAATTCACATTAAATCTCACTAATTCAGATGATTAACAAAAGACATTCTTTGAATATGTGATCAAATAGATTTTTTTTTCTTTCTGAAAGGGGAGGTCAAGAAAATACCATGCTTGGCATATCAACACAAACATATATAACTTACAATATTAAATAGAAAAATACAACCATACAGATAAGCAAATAAATGTTATATTGCTAAAATTGTGTACCCTAGTCAATTTGCTGTTTCCCCCCCACATAAAAGCTTCAAACCTATAGTGATCTGAAAATCTAAGCAGCAGTGATATATATAATATAGGATCATGAAACTACCTTTACTTCCTCTTAATTCAGAGATCATAATAGAATACGCCCAGTTACCTACAAGTCAAAAGACATTTTTACTTGGAAGAATGAACATATTACCATCAATAAACTAAACTAAACTAAAGACTCCAGTAATTACTACCGATCATCCGACAATCTAAGGATTATCACATTGCTGCATACAGATAAACAGAAGTTATGGAAGGCAAATTGCAAAATACTAAATGTTAGTTCATACATAAATCTTTAAAACAGCCATGTAGCAAAACAAAACGCACAAGTAATTGAATTACAACTATAAACACAATTATGCAAATACAATAAATTCCAATGATAGGAAACAATTCCACATGGAAACTCAAACCCTTAAATCTTAGGTTCTAAAACTTGCAAGTACTTAAACAGCTGCTGGACCACTGGAAACCAGTATAAATGTACTCATAGGACCGAACTATTTAAGAAAAAACAAATAAACAACAAGAACAACAATAACAACAAAGGACTTATCAACTAAGGCCTTCCTTTGTCAGGTCGATTGTTTGGTCAAAAATAATAATTGACCCAGGCAATTTACAGACCTCACCTCACAAAAACTAGGCCTAATTCTGACCCTAATTTATTCTTCCACAACCAGAAGACCCATCATTGGCCCCATCAGCCTTTCCCAAGCTGAATTGACTGAGGGATTCTGCATTACCTTAGATGCAGTAAACTCCTTATTCTTCCCTATGCAATGCATCACATCTTAGCTTCTCATATATGCAGTGATGATGAGCTGCACCCACACTACTTCCCTCACTAGAACAAACTATCATATATATTTACATCTGAACATACTGCTAAACAACAGAACTTATCTAACACCACGAAATACATAATTCAAACACACAATGAATTTCCCGTAGATAGCTAAAGCAGTATGAATAATAGTTAGTTATACAGTCGATAATTCGACTGCCTTGTAATAAAATAATCGATCGCGTCAACAGACACCGTGAAAGATTTTAATAGAAGTTGGTGGTCGAAGAAATGAAGAAATGAAAAAAAAAAAAAAAAAAAAAAAAAAAAAAAAAACAGGACCAAGGAATAAAAAGTAATAGAAATCTCAATGAAAATAAGTAGACTAATCGAAAGGCATTCAAAGAATCTCAAAGATTTATCGCATCTGCATGGGTGGGGAAGAACTAACAGATTCAAAAATTAAAATGGCATTACCTGTTCGGTGTAGGGCAGAGGCGAGTCCCTTCCTTGTTGATCTTTCCAACGCGGATCGAAACAAGAGGCACGCAGAAGCATCTCGCTAGCATCCCAACTTCAGATGGCTCGAAATGCTGTATAACGAAATAAACAAACACTCCTTCAGAAAATAATGCGGCAAGAAGAAGAAAGAAGGTTACAGGACGACAAAACCGGACCATCAAGAACGAGTCTCTCACCTGAGTCAATTGAGCGAGGAGAGGATCTTCGGCGACGCCACAAGCAGTGTTCATCTTGAGCAAGGGTTTCAACCTCTCGTCAGCGCGACACGCTCCCATGACTTGCATATCGAGAGCCTGAAGCCACTGCAGGAACCGGTCCTCCCTATTGGTCTGCTGAATCAACAGATCGCCGTCGCTTTCGTCGACGAGAATATCCGTCAACCGCTCCGTGAGCCCGACCTGCCTCCTCGAAGCACCGTCGCTGTCCACCGAAGACGAATCGTCGAAACCCTCACCGTTGGAGGCGTCCGCAGGATCAATCGCGTCGCCGTGGAACAAATCTCGTTCTCTCCCGTTAGCCATAGGAAATCAGATTGCAGGCGAAAAAAATTGAAAACCCTAGGTTCCGTTAGGAGAGACCGTAATTCGAGTGGAGCAATCAAGCAAAATGGTTGAGAAGGATTTGAAGAATTTTAGAGAGAGAGAAAAGGGGAACGGTTTTAGAGAGAGAAATAATATCTTGAACAGGTGGTGGCAACCCTTGAAATAGAGAAGATATGAAATGCCAAGTTGTGCTATAAATAGTAGGCGGGCCAGGGTGACGTGGCGGACATGAAACGGATTATGGAATGAAGTTTGGCACTCGTTTGAAATCCAGGAGCACTGGTTGGTGGGGTCCTGAGCCCAGGTCAGCTTTCTGTGGGTCCCGCTTATCAACGTTAGGCGGTGCCACGTCGGAGCTATGGCCGACCCTCTCTCGCATACGGACGGTGATAATGATGCCCACCCTGTGCAGGGCCACAAGTCCACCAGAGTTAAACAAACTTTTTTTTGTACAAATTCTTTTTCTTTCTACTACAACTAATTATTGGTATGTAAGTGTATTGAATTTAGTATCAACAAAGTTTTGGGTTCTATTAAGAACATTTAATTAAGGGAAAATTATCTAAATTATGTAATCTAATTTACAATAAATCACTATGTTAACCTAGTAATTTGATAGAGAAGGATTGAGATAGTTAGAAATATGGAGACCTAGATTCAATCTTCGTTATAATCATCTTTATAATATTTCCTATTTTTATCTGAAAAATTTAATTTACAATGTCTTTATTTTAACTTGTATATCGGATAACATAAAATTAATAATTATAATAAATAAATATTTTAAATTTATCATTTAACAATTTAAATTTCATGTTGGATTATTTTTAACTATTTACATTTCTACAAGAAAATATATCGGAATTTAATTTAAGGTTTAAATATTTTTTTTATTTGTAAGATAGGTAATTTTTTTTTATTTTAGTCCATAAAAAATATTTTTCATCCTCTTTAATTTGAAACAATTATTTTGAATGAAGTTTAGTTTTAGCTTCTATAATTTTTTTTTATTTATCTAAAATATTAAATCATCATTTGTTCTTGATAATCGATTAAAATAAATAAATAATATTAATAAGAAAATACTTTAGAGTATCGCATATTAATATAATAGTATAGACATTATCGTGGATGATATTTGATATTATCAATTAACTTTCAATTAAATTGATGAAAAATAAATAAATTTCAATTATACATAAATTAATGAGTGTTACATTGAGATTAAAAATAATAATTTCATATTTTATTGAATAAAAATCAAAGTTTTTTGTATATGAAACCAAATATAAAACACCTTAGTTCTATAAACAAATTTAAGGATTAATTCAAGAATAAAAATAAAAACACAATAAATTGAAAATGTTTCACAGTTAAGAAAATCTGTATCGGTAACTAAGTTTAAAATAAATGTTATAAGTATAAAAAAAATGTTATAAATGATGATATGAAATAAATTTTATATTTAATATATAAAAAATAACTTTAAAATTATATGTTTGACTTAAGCTGTTTAAAAATATTTTTATAACAATAAAAATTAAGTTTAAAATTATTTATAATAATTAATTTATATTTAAAATAATCATTGTCGATAATAAAATGAGGAAAAAAATTGTAAGAAAATCATCTGTTAACTTTTTTAATCATAATCTTCAAATTTTTATTTATTTAAAAAATAAATAGAAATAATTAAAAATTATAATATTATTTCATTTAACGATTATATAAAAGATCGATTCTTACCTATTAAAATAAATTTTGGACTAACAAAATTTACATTCTTCAAGTATAAAGTAATTTTTATTATCAAATTTAAAAAATGTGTAAACTATATAAAAATATAAAATAAATAAAGCACAATTGTGAACAACTTTTTTCATTGAGAATATAATAATTAATCATGATTATGTGACAGATGCTCTAAAATTATTTATTAATAAAAACAAGGAGGTTATTTTATTGCAGAAAAGGACATAAGCAAGTACATCAAAACTGAAGAAAAATGGTTGGACGAGGTGAACTGCCTCATCTTTAATTTATTCATTTCTGCCTTCTTTTTATTCTTTTTTTTTTTGTGGACGGCTGTTGGACTGTATTACATTTACAGTATCCGTGTGTTTTGAAAATGGGTACACATTTTCAATCCAAGGAGTCGCATGATATTAATGAGTTTATATATATATTAACGAATAGAAATAAATTAAGAGATTTACATAAAATCTAAATTATCTTCGTATAAAATGAAATTTCAAGAACTTTTCAATTTAACAAATGTCATATTAAATCTAATTCATCATCGATTAATCCATGAATAACAATATTATTATCTTAAGAATATTGTCACAATATATTTATAAATTATGAGTCAATAATTCTTTAATATTAATAATAATATTTGTATGTTTATATATAAAAAAATCATATTACGGATATTGATAAATGATGAGAATAATAATTATATAATTTAACTCACAAAAATTAAATTTAAATCTATCTTTTCAACATAAACGCAACACTACCCTTAAAGTAAGAAATTCTACACATAACTCCTCTTTTGAACGATTTCACAAATCCTCCTTTTTATATGCTAACAACATCTCTCACTATTCCACCAATTCCCATTACTTGATAATTCTCTAACTAACTTTCATAAACATTCAACTTAATAAAGGGATAATCTGGTGGACTCCATTTATTACCCTGCTATCAAAGAGTGTATTATATGATATATTTAATGTTATTTGTTTCACAACATAGTTTATATAGTCCATGATTGATTTGTCTCAAATATCATATGGTTTTGAAAAACCAAATTTATCATGTCCCAACTGTCAACCTCGTTACAACTAGATAATTAATTAAGTGTTTGGGTCACAACTGACAATTTATATTAGAAAAAAAAAACAATACAAAATATATATGTGTATGTCTTGAATCATAAATTCTTTACCTTCTCTAAATCTATATATTGAAACAACTACTCTTAATTTATCAATATTTGTTAACTTCAATTTTTTATTAGCTAATTTATTTCTTATATTTTGATTTTTTAGCTCACTTTTCATTTTAAATGTATAACTTTTACTTTTCATGTAATATTTATGTCATATATACATATAATATTTCTTCACTTTTTAAATAAATTACCCTCTTCCTCTAAAAAAAAATAAATAAATTACCCTCACTAATCAAGATTTTAGGTGTGGTACCTTCTCTTCATCCAATAAAAATTATAAGTAATTTTTCCACGAATTTAATATATTTAACGTGATTTTTATTATTGATGAGAATTTATTATATTGTTCTACACATATTTTAAAATATGTGATTGGAAAGAAAAAAATTCATAAAAATGATTAACTAAATTTTTAAAAAAATTAATTATATATAAATATTTCATATCGATAAAATAATTAAAAAAGAAAAATTCTATGGTACCCATCTTATTTGAGAGGGTACCGGTACAGTTTTTTATATTTTATATTTTTAATAATTTATTTAAATATTTAT